CACACACACACACAAAGAGAAGCTGTGGCACAGTAACTGCCCTGTCCAATGCATGAGGTAACCCATTTCCTTTAAGGGATAGTCAACCTCACACACTCTCTTGGGAAGGGTGGGGTGGGTGTGGGTAGTTCTGATGAAAGACTGTGAGACTGTGTGAGTGTGTTTGTTTAAAAAAATAAGGGGAGAGGAAAAAATGCAAAACTACTGTGTGTGGTTTAATTGCCTCACTTCGTAGATGTTTTGTATATAAATGTGTGTTGGTGTGTGTGTGTGTGTGTGTGTGTGTGTGTGTGTGTGTGTGTGTGTGTGTGTGTGTGTGTGTGTTTTTCCAGGGGGGTTATCTGAGTACAGTGACTGACAGGAGGACTGTTGTCCAGTTGGACATCTGGGATTACCTTTCGTTAGTGTCCTCTAGTGGACATTATGACCATGGCCTTCAGAATGACCTTAATCATATGAGAGAATCATTTTGCGTCTCGTTTCAAGTCAATCTACAGTTACTGGTCGCAGTACATTGTGCATTGTTAATATATATATAGTTGATTCGATCAACAGATATGTAAAAAATGTGTTTTATCTAGAGTGAATCAAGCAATAGCACCACAATTTATCATCGGAAATGCCTACAAAAGAAATCCTGGTCCACTGTGAAAAAAATTATCGTCTAAAAAAGAAAGGGTATCAATTAGTAAAAATTGCAATGTTCTCCCTTTCTTCTTCCTATTTCTGTGCAGTTCTGTCTGATACTAGTTGGCCCAGGAGCCAAATGAATTCCCAGCAACCTTTACTCTTGAAACCTCTTATGCCCCCGCTAAATGTTAGGATGTTGGATTTTGAGTTCTATCTGACATTAGGAATCTTCACAGCCACTATGGAGAGGATGAACTATACCAATAACTACTTTAACTACTGGTGTTTTTACATATTTGGATGTGGGTACTTCAAACTTTAAATGTGGATGAATTCATTACTTTTAGTGGGACTAACTTCACAAGCCAAGGTCCAGCACTGATGCTGTCTACATATCACACTATCTCTTGGCCTTTCCTCCTTTTTCTAATGCCAGCACACAATTTAAAGCCTCATTTTATGGTGACAGATTTGTGATCGGAGCAAGCGCAATGAAAGCTAAACTTGGCAAATACAAAATGGCGAGGAGAAGACTGAATGAGTTGTGACAGCTGAAGTGTTGTTGGCCAAGTTTGGAGGGTTTCTGTTGCTCTTTAATTTCCCCACACTGCCTCTCTCTCTTTCTCCCTCTGGAACTATTGCCCTCTTTCTCTGTCTTCATCTCACCTCCACCTCTCTATGTGTCTCTCTCTTTTCATATCCATCAACCTTTCTGTGCTGTCATCCCCTGACAGCCACCTTACCCTCACGTTACTATGGCAACTCTCTCTCTCCTTTGCCCTTCCTGTGTACATACATCACATACATCCTGTTTTTGGTATCAGAGTGGCAAACAGGGTACCCAAACGGCAGGATATCCTGGGAAGACCAGTGTGTGAGAGCGGTTCGTAGACAAAGAAAAAGTAAAAGGAAGAGGAAAAGAAGCTGATTATTGTTGAATATTGTGTATTTATAGCCTGCCACTTAGTACGCTACAACCTGCAATTATTGTCATCACTGTAAGGCAGTTTCTGGGAGTTCATTTGTGGTTTCACAGCTGCATTCTGGCATTTTTCGAAATGACAGACAAGTCTGAGGGAGACACTACAATTACAGGTCAAAATAAGGTGTCATAATTGTTACTCGTTGGCCTGAGGTGACCGTATTTTCTTTTGCAGGACAACATGACTACTGTTAACTTGTTCTTGCATTTTACCACACCCAGGCAGCTCGAAACAGCTACTGATGATAACTTTAAAACAAACCTAATTGAGAAGTACTGTATTTACAGGGCAAAAAAGAAAGACAGAGAGCATGAGAATGACAGTGTCAAAATTATTATGTATTAGTGAGTATCAGCCAGGATCTCTGCTTTATCCATGCTTTCACAACTCTGCTCTGTCCATGCATTATTTGTTTCTCAGCGGCACATCCTGCCAGCAGCTCTGCAGACAGTCACCTTGATACCTCAGTTTACTCCAGCTCTTCCACTCACTTATTGCTGCTCTCTCCGACTCAGTCACTTTCACTCACGTATCTGCTGTCTCTCTCTGAGTTCTTCTTACCTTTGTGTGCCTGCCTTCTCAACCCCTTACTTTCTCAACTTCCTCCTAAATCAATATATTTGATTTGCTCTCCCGTATCTTCCTGTCTGCGCTATTCTGCTTCGTTAATGTGTGTGTGTGTGTGTGTGTGTGTGTGTGTGTGTGTGTGTGTGTGTGTGTGTGTGTGTGTGTGTGTGTTGCATTGGGATGTCTTTGGCATCAGCATCAGCAGAGTAAGCTAAGGTAAAGACAGGGGATAAGTAGGAGAGTAGGAGACAGACACAGAGAGCATGCAGAACAAAAACAACTAAGATTGCAATTTTTTTGTTGGTGTTTGGTAAAAATGTGGTGTATGTGTGTGTTTATGTGTGAGAGAAAAGAGGAAGAAAACATCTTAATTTCTTAAGCGTTATCTTCTCTTGTTCTCAGATTTCTTTTGCTCCTATAAATCTTATCAAAATCAATGAAGATCAACATTGGTGCCATAGTGGATACATTAGAGACATATACATAATTAATAAGTAGTTTTTAATGGACGTGTGGATAAGCTATTATTATGAAAGGTGTGTCATGTATGGAAGAAAGGAAGTGTGAAAAAAAGAGACAAAGGAGAAGATAGAGAAGAAAAAAGACAAGTTGGGGAGAAGAGGGGAAATTCAATTAATATTTCTGCTGTTGTGTGTAGACATTTGCATTAGCTGTGGATAGACTATTTAAGATGTGATGTAAAAAACTGAGCTTTGAAATTCACATTAGAGAAGTTACAGACCATGAAAAGCTCCCATAATGTTAAGGCTGATTCACATGCACTGTGCACTACGGGTGCACAGAGGGACACTGAGACAGCTACAGCAAGCTGGCCTTTTTGGGCAGTACAGTGAAGTGTGACCCCAGCCTAAAACTATTCCAGCTATGTTGATCGTGGGAGGGGAAACAGGACAAATAGCCAGCACTGACATGCTAACACACACACACTCAGAGAACATGGAGCATTAGATTGGCGGTTGGTAATTGCAGCTGACTCCCTCACAGGGGGGCTTCTTGTATGACACAGTGAAAGGACAAAGGTTAAACTCAGCAGTGTCTTCACTTTCTTTCTCCCTCTGTTGTCTTTTTTTTACAGCACTCCCCTGGACATTTTCTGTATTTTGTGAACCTTGTCTTGTCTATTTCTTTCTCTGCTTCTCTTTCTGTCCCTTTACAGCTTACATCCTCCCTCCTCCTTAATCTCAATGTCTCTGGCTGCATCTACACGGAGACGAAAACGAAAACTAACCAAATCCGATATCAAAATAGTCTTCCGTCCACGCGGTATCGGCTCAAGAAACGTGCCCGTCCACACGAGACCGCTCGACCAGCTGGAGACGCTGTAGTACATATGCCGGGCCTGTAAATGCCGCTGTACTTCCGCCACAAAATACACCAAAAGCAGCGAAGAAGACATGGTTGCCATGGTTGCCCTTCTGTTTATTCTCCGCAGTGGATTTAGCAACATGTAGTTCATGTAGTTCTCCATGTCCACTTGTTGCTGATGGTTGTGGTAGAGGAGCTGTAGATGTTGCACTAACATCTGTACCAGCAGAGGTGGGAAGAGGTGGGGCTATGGCTTCATCGTTATCAGGAAATTATCGTATTGGACGTACACATGGAGCCATTAGGCCCCCCAGAGCGTTTCGTCCGCACCTTGGGACCCGTTACCGTTTGAGGGCTCCGTTTCCGCGGTTCCGTTATGGCCTTGTGTGGACGAACCGTCCATACATAGAGAACTATAGCAGATACAACCCGTTTCGTGTCCGTGTGCACGGGGCCTCTGTCTGTCTCTCTTTCGGACCCTCTGATTGGCTGGATTAATATGTGTATTGTGAGGAGAGGGCCAATGAGTGAGCGGAGTCAATTACCTGAGAGTGCAGCTAACAGGAGCAAGCGCAGACTTTCCATAATAAAAAGCTATTACAATAAGGGGAGCAAATAATTAGTTATTTTAATTTACTTGCCATTCATCTCTTAATACATTCCAATACTGCGCACAACTACAACTAGGAGGGGATCCATTGTCTTACCGAGCAGGGGGGTTGTTGCTAGGCAACCTCTATTTCTAAGGTGAACGAGACAGTGCTCAGGGAGAATAGTGGGAGATGGAGAGGAAGCTTGATGGAGCGAGGGAGGGGCGGGGGAGATAATGAGTGTCTGAAACCAGAGGGGTCGACCACAGGAAACCTGATCATTCAAACCACATGCAAATGAAGACACATGCTCAAACACTTTTCTCCTCTCTCTGCACATCTTCTTCACTCTCTCCATTGCACACCCTCATACGAAGACATTAGGGCTACAAAATAAGAGTTTTTGTGTGTACTGATACATAGAGTGCATATTTGTATGTTAATATGTAGTTAAGAGCTGGATCTGTAATGTATTCAAAGGTTTTTCAGGGGGATTTTGCAGCTGAGTGCATTTCACAGTGTCTGTACAAATGTGGGCGTGTTCATGTGAGGAGAGCTTAAGCTAAACAGCATCAAAGTACAAAGTACAATAAAAATCAGAAAATCGTTCCCGCTGCTGTCGGCAGGCACGACTTGGTTGCTACATACTAATGCTTACGCATTATGCTGACGCAGCCGTCTGCTGGAAATTTATTTTGGTTCTGTGCCTTCTTAAAAATATGCGGCTCACTATAGAGTGGCAGTCTACTGGGTAAAAATAATCTCATGGTAAGAATGCAGTCATTTTTTCCCACTATATTTAGAAATATAGACACTTGCAAATGTCTCCCTTCAAGTCTGCATACTGATGATATAGCTGATTATACAGCCTTCGTTTTATCTAGAATTTATTCTCAATGTCAAGGGATCTAAAGCTCTGTTACAACAAACATTATCTTATTGATGATTCAATTTCACTCAGAATACACAATCTGACAATAGACAGGCAACTCTCTCCTTTGTTAGACCAGCAGAAGATGTAAATAAAGCCACAACTAATTGTTCTCATTGCCAATTCATCTGTTTTCCTCTTCTCGATTATCTGATTGATCAATACAATACAAAGGGGCTTTATTGGCATGACCACATTTTAAAAATAGTATTGCCAAAGCATTCAACTTGTGTGTATGAAAATGTGACAGTGTATAAATGAGTACTATATAGTTTTGACCTTAAACTCAGGAAGAAAAATAGGAATTGTTTGTGCTAACTGTTTGAACTAAAACAGAGACCCTCTGTTGGTTTGGTAGTGGGAGTATTTCGGAGATTGAAATCCTGCCTTTTATAGAAGTCTACTGAGAACTCAAAGTTCATTTAGGGCTGCTTTCTAGGTAGAAATGCAAGTTGCAAAAATATAAAGCAGTAACCGTCTATTGCTGAGCGTATATGGGGCTTATTTGCATGCAAAACCCCGCTGTCTGCAATTCACAAGATTCTTGATTACTATGCAGAATTGTATCAATTTGAAACATCTGCGAAGAGCCAAACAGGAACACGGGAAGTGAAACAAAATGCTGCCTGCCTCACATGTGTGCATTCTTATGCATTTGAACAATAAGTCAAAGATGAGCAGAAAACCACAAGTAGTGCACCTGTAAATGGAAATTGTGGTTTTACAGATGAATGAAGGTACTGGGTGATCTGTTCCTCTTTGCAAACTTCAGAAACAGTTTCATTAAAACTTTTATTGAATTCAATCACCATAATCGTATTTTTTTTTACTCAACCTGTTAAGCCCTCAGCCTGTTTTTCAGGTCTTGAATGATGGGATGGTAGACAAAAAGCTTTAGGAATCCAAAACGATAACATATAATAAGTACCCTGTATCAAGATTGATGCAAAACAAGTGACATTTTACCTTTTTAGAGAGGTTTAAAAAAAAAAAAACACTTCTGGGGTCATTTGGGTGTATTTTCCATATCTCTGGAACCCATCGGTCGATTTTGATGATTGACACCTCTTTTTAACCGATAGAGCCAATAGAATCGAGAGGGAAGTTCCTAAATCCATCTAAACATTACCATTGGTGAATGAGAGTGATGCGCAGCCAGCATGCCCAAAACCGGAAGCTGGGTTACAGCTCTCATACACTCTTATTGACAAAATGTTATGATGGATTATCAGTAATCATTTCAAAGTGACACAGAGACATTGGACTAACCATTCATTAGCGTTTTTATGCGTTTTAATGCCATTGAACACAACCTTTGATCAGAAAACAGCAAAGGTAAGACGTATTTGCCGTTTTGGCTACGTAAAGAGAAGTTGTGTGTTGTCTTTGGGTTAGGGGTTTTGCCTTCGCTGCCGCGGGTTTTGGTCGCACAGTGATGATACTTATACCATTGGAATCTGTGGGATCTCAGCTTTCATATGATATCTAGTTTGTGCAGATCCAATGAAGTATAAAATATTTCTACCGTGAGTTATGTGCTAAATGCGTTAGCACTCTTTCGCTTAGTGCTAACTCAGAAGCTCGGCGTTAGACTTGTGTTTTATTTCGGTAAAAATGGTTCATATCGTCAGGTAGCTGAGTTTTTTCCCCTTAAGTGGGTATGACACATTCATAGTTTGTTAAATGATAAGAAGCCCTCAGACGCTGTTTCATGCAAGACGTTGCCGGCGGGGGGCACCAGGTTAAATGACTAAATAAAGCACAATTGAGTTAAATCACAGTTTTGGAGCTTCAAATCTGATCTTATTCTGAGAGATTAGCTTCTTTTCTTTTTTTTTTAATTGATAGGTTTGTATGAAAATATCAATACATTTGAGTATTGACATATAATATCTTGCAATAATGTATCTATTCTCCAAAAAAACGTATATATGTTTTATCCCCAGCTATGTGAAATGTTTTTTGCAAGTCATTCTCCTGCTCTCTTCACCAACATGTCCTATCTCTCTCTATTATCAAATAAAAGCATGTCCATCAATAATAAAACAAAATATATGTTATTACTGTATTCATTTGTACATTTATTAAATATATTGATTGATACTGTGAGTGGTTTTTATCCTCCATAGATACAACACTGTGCTGTTTTCGCGATTGGGCAGCACTTCACATACTCCTGATTAACAATCTCAACTGTAGACAAGGCACTGCTGGGAGTTGAGAGCAGGATAACCTGTTTACTAAACAGGCACTTTTACCAGCTAAGCCAAAAAAAACAGTACTAAAACAATGTATTAAATATATAATAATAATGGTTATATGTATTGTGAAAACATATTACTAAATCAATGTGTGATTTTATAACAAAAAAAGCAGCATATTCTCACATTTAACGAGTTTGACCCAGCAAATATCAGTTTGCCCTTGTTTGATGAAGGAAATCCTTTAACTTGAGTTCAGTTTAGCATGTTAGTACTCCAGATTTGAAATGTTCCAGTACCAAATCCAACACAGGAGATATCCTGTTTTATGCTTTGATTCAAGATTTGTACTGAAGGTAAAACCGATGGGATTCAAACCCAGAACCTATTGTTAACTAAAGAAGACACTTTCACCAATTGTTACCATGCACCATATGAATAGATGTTAAAAAGTAATTGGCAGGGTGGTAAAGCAATACATTGAATTGACTCTGATTACCATTTAATCAGAGATTCAAATAAAAATAGAATGAAATAAGAGAACAACGAGGCTTTGAATAATAAAGTTGTGCAGAAAATAATAAGTGCTCACATTAATGAACAACCTTTAAAGGATTCAGAAGATGTATTAGACTGATGTACTGATACTTGTTTCACATATTCAGCAAGAGTCCAGCCATCCTTACCTGTGCATAGTCCCTCTCCAGCTGTCCCTTCTTCAGACTGTAGGTCCTACAACAGAGAAAGAGTCCTGTTTAAGTGTCTGAAGGGGGTACATTTTTTGTGAAAATAAATAATGTTTATTCTAAATAACCAGCACGTTATTGTCCTTTGAAAGATACACCAACATATATGATAGAGATGTATACATAGAGAGGGTCTCCTTAGACATCTCAGCAGTGCTCTCAACATTACGCAGACGATACCACAGTTTTTTCTGTCTCCTGACCCAAGTTCTGACCCACAAAATGTAAAAACCCCAACACATGTCCCCCCTTGCCCTCTCTACATCAAACAGCACTGGCAGCAGAGACAGTGAGAGCTCTTATCGCAGCAGAGGAATGCGCAGAATGAAAAACAAAACATTAGGTATACGATTACATAGACAGATATCATGTACTGTCACTGTTTGCTGAATGAACAAAGAAGCATAATGGAGATGACCACACCAGGTGCTGATACTATACCTGCGTCTCTGAAACCTTTTGAGGTTTTATAGAGTACATTGGCTAAAAGTGCGTAATTATGTATTTAAAAAGAGAAGCGTATGTGTGTGTGTGTTTAAAAAAAATTCTATACATTTTTCACGTTGCTACTAAGAAGCAGTTTTTCAAGATTGCGTTGATTTCAGCATCCAACTTTATAACAACAGCATGGAGAAAGAAACAGAGGGTTAAATAAATGTTAATGTAGAAATAAATAGAAATAAATAAATCATTTATGTCCTGCCCTATCATACATTTTTAATAAATTATTGAGTTACTTATTTGTTTATTCGCAATCCCTACTTTGGTTTTGTCCTCTATAGATACAACAATGTGCTGCCAATTAAAAAAAACGTTTGTTAACTTGCTTATCTTTTGAATTTACCGAATCAACAAACACAAACATAGTGTGTTAATGACTTCAAATGCTTTTAAGACCCCATTTACACGGGAACGTTTGCGTTTACGCACCTTATGCGTTTTCAAAAAAGTCTTCCGTTCACACGCATTCGATTCATTTAACGTGTCCGTTCACACGAGACCGCTGGAAACGATGTAGTACTTATGCCGGGCCTGTAAGTGGCGCTGCTGCCGCCACAAAATACACCAAAAGCAGCAAAGAAGACCCCCCGAGCATGGTTGCCATGGTTGCCTGGTTGCCCTTCTGTTTATTCTCCGCGGTGGATTTAGCAACATGTAGTTCATGTAGTTCTCCATGTCCACTTGTTGCTGATGGTTGTGGTAGAGGAGCTGTAGATTTTGCACTAACATCTGTAGCATGGTCAGAAGCGTCTGGAGCACGAACGCAACCCTGTGTTCCGCCATTGTTGTTGTTGTTGGCGAAACGCATCAGCACGGGGGTGAGCAGGAGAGGTGGGGAGAGGCGGGGCTATGATCGTTTAACGCAGGGGTGTCAAACTCAAATACACAGTGGGCCAAAATTTAAAAAACGGTACTAGTCGAGGGCCGGATTGGTTCAATGTTTATAGCAAAACTTATTGAAATGAGCTTATTGCACATATTAACCAATCCGGCCCTCGACTAGTACCGTTTTTTAAATTTTGGCCCACTGTGTNGTGTGCCTTGGCAGTCTAAACATACTGTTCACATTTTTTTCTCCAATAAATGGATGTTTTCAAAGTCAATGAATAATCGTATTTAATGATCGCAATTACAATTATTGACTCAAATAATCGAGATTATGATTTTTTGCCATAATCAAGCAGCCCTATATGAAAGGTAACATGACATTGTCCTGTCCGTCTCAAAATGAGACAACAACGATCTTCAATCATGACCTTCTGAAACTTGGGAAATATGTGTTACATCACAATCAGACAGCTGAGGTGCTATTTGCCTACTATGGAAAGCCCTGACTATGATTTATAAAGTGATTTACTGTTTAAACATTAGCAAAAACACCTCGTTTTTTAAACAAATCAAGGCAAACCACAAAGCATTGTTCTTGCTATTGTATCAAAACATTATTCTACTGTTAGCTTGCTACTTATCTATTTTTTTGTATACTTAAATGACATTAGTGAATGTTTTTGCCTTCTTGGTCTTTGAGAGGAAAATCTGTGGAGGATCTGCTCTATTGTGTCTTGTGGCGATCGTGCAGTGTGAAAACATGACCTCCCTCCTCCGCCTCTATCTCTGTCTGTGACTCATGTTGCTTATCCTGTTGTCACTGATCTCAGGCTGTGGCCTGCAAACCATTGATCTCAGCTGTTTTCCCATGTTTGAGCATTCCCTCTCTCGGCCCGCACACACTTAGTGTCCGCTCCTAAGCACTTAAGTATTTCCTTTCAGACACACACTCATCTGGGCATTTTCTTTCTGCCTACTTCATGCACAGCTGATGCTGACACTGCTTTACCGCACACATACAAACACACACAAATGATGGCCTGGCAGAATAGAGGGATGAGAAAGTGAGAGAGAGGGACTAAGTAGTTAGAAGAAAGAGCAAGAACGCAAAATGCAATAGGCAAAAATGAAGGGATAAGGGTGGGAAAAATGTAGAGGTGGGAGGTGGGGGAGGAGAGTTTTAAGGACATTATTAAAAGATTGTGAGCAAACAAGTGTGAAAAAAGCAAGTCTAAAGAGTACAAAGGCAAAGACAAACAACTTAAAAGAAGTACAGTATATCCTCACTACACTAACACACCATTTATACGATCACATTCAAAGTGAAATAGCTATTCAAGACATACAATCTTAAAGCTCTGTTCTTTCTGTTAACAATCTTTCATAAGAAACACACTGTCCCTATCAAAGGTTTGTGATGGGTGTGATATTTCTAACTGGCAATTGGGTGTCCATATTTACATATGTGGTTTCTGCTGCAGGGTCACCATGGTTGCAGAAGCATAGACATGTCCTAAGACCCTAGTGAGGATGTGTGTTAGTGCATGTGTCTATGTGTGTACTGGTGTTGACATTAATTGTATGTTCCAGAGGCCCTTACTAGTACTCAAGTACACTTAGCACAGAGCTTATTGTTGCTGTACATGAGTGTCAGAAGGCCAGCATGTCACTATATGTATTTAGGTGAGAGAACCAGAGATTAAAAGTTGCATATATAATAATTATATATTTAATGTATAAATAATTATTTATTTTAATTTGAAATACTGTCAAATGTATTAGTTGACTCATATAACAACGTTCAGTTGCAGCTGCTGAAAATTGGTCACTTTAGTTCATTTCACAATTGGCATGGCAACCATGCTCGGGGGTCCTCTTCGCCGCTTTTGGTGTATTTTGTGGAGGAAGTTACTACGCCACTTACAGGCTCAGCATATGTACTACAGCGTCTCCAGCGCTTTCGAGCGGTCTCGTGCGAAAGTACAGCGCCACTTACAGGCCCGGCATTATGTACTATAGCGTTTCGAGTGGTCTCGTGTGAACGGACAAGTTAAATGAGCCGAATGAAAAAAAGGGTTGTTTGAAAAATTGACAGAAGGAAAAAACTTGAGGTAAATTATATATCTGTCATGAGCTGCTATTTGTATTCACTGTCATTTTGATTACTGAATATTGTGGTCTCATAGGGTGCTTTGGCTTAGTTGGTTAAAGCGCCTGTCTAGTAAACAGGAGATCCTGAGTTCGAATCTCAGCAGTGCCTTTTCTGTGGTTCAGGTTGTTGAGATGAGAATGGGATTATGAGTTAACTGTGAAGGGTTCTAAGTGCCTGCAAGTAGGACTATCAGACACATCGTAAGTGATTATTAAAGATCTGAAAAGGTTATTTTCATGTAGTTAAGTGCATAGTTTGCATTGGCCCTTAGCATAGCTCTAATTTAAAATGAACTGATCGGCAGGGTCAAATAATTTTGATTTATGAAAAAGGATCTCAGAGTTTTTGTGGTCTGAGCACATGCTTGAATATACTACTATTATTCAATGAAGGCTTCAGTTGAACTTGGCTAAACCTCTCCCTGTCCCACGTTCTTAGATGTGAAAATGTGTTCCTTTAGCGTTTCCGATCATTGGACATCTTTGAGTTTGCAAAAAATGTTTCCATCAAGAAATGCAGTTGAAGCCAGTTGCTCTATGGTTAATGTCTGTAGTGCACCGTGGTTTAGTTAGTTAATGTACGCGTTGACTACTACTATTACTCAAGGAAGGTTTCAGTTTAACTTGGCTAAACCTCTCCTGGTCCCACGTTCTTTGATGTGAAAATGTGTTCCTTGGGCGTTTCCCATCATTGAATATCTTTGAGTTTGGACATTCTTTTTCCATAAAGAAAAATAGTTGAAGCCAGTTGCTCTATGGTTAATGTCTGTAGTGCACCGTGGTTTAGTTAGTTAAAGTACCTGTCGACTAAACAGGAGAACCCAGGCTGAAATCCAAACATGGCCTTTTCGATGCACAAAAAAAAGGGTTGTTTGAAAAATTGACAGAAGGAAAAAACTAGAGGTAGATTAAACATGTGTCAAGAGCAGCTATTTGTATTCACTATTATGTAGATTACTGAATTTGTTGGCCTCATAGGGTGCTGTGGCTTAGTTGGTTAAAGCGCCTGTCTAGTAAACAGGAGATCCTGAGTTTGAATCTCAGCAGCGCCTTTTCTGTGGTTCAGGCTGTTGAGATTGGGATTAGGACAAGGTTCTAAACGTCCTGCAAGTAGGACTATGAGATACATCGTAAGCAATTATAAAAAATCTCAGAAGGGTATTTTCATGTAGTTAAGTGCATAGTCTGCATTGGCCCTTAGCATTACTTGCTCACATGTAAAATGTGAAAACTGCAGGGCCAAATAATTTAGATTTACCATAAAGGAACTCAGACCCTTTGTGGTCTGAGACCATACTTTAATATACTACTACTATTACACAATGAAGGTTTCAGTTGAACAAACGTAAACCTCTCCTGGTCCCACGTTTTTCAATGTGAAAATGTCGTTTCCCCATCATTGAATATCTTTGAGTTTGGAAAATTGTTTTCCATAAAGAAACACAGTTGAAGCCAGTTGCTCTATGGTTAATCACTGTAGTGCACTGTGGTTTGGTTAGTTAAAGT